GGTGACTGTCCTGATGTGGTGGTGACTGTCCTGATGTGGTAGTGACTATCCTGATGCTTTGTTGCCCAGTGAACCCACCACTCACTCTAACAGTAAACTCTCCTGAGAAATTTTCTTTTTAGTGCAGTTGTCAATCAGGGTTCTTTTATTTCGAGGCAGGGGTTGTTTTTAAAAGATCTTTTTGCTTATACTTACTTAAACAATTTTCATATGAATGCAGTTACCTCAATCCTGCTTAACCTAAATCCCAGTATTTCCATTTCCCCCAATGTCTTCTCTCTCCTCCTTCTCCTCCTTCTCCTCTTTCTCTTCCTTCTCCTCCTCCTTCTCCTCCTCCTCCTCCTCCTGCTCCTCCTCCCTTTTCTTCTTCTTCCTCCTCCTTTTTCCTTTCTCCTCCTTCTCCTTCTCCTCCTTCTTCAGTAACTCAGTCCAATTAACATTGCCTGTATGCACATAGGTGTGGGGCTGTCCACTGAGGCCAGGACAACCTACCATCAACCACACACTCGAAGAATAATGAGTCTCTTTGGACAGCCAGCAACTGTCAATAACTCCTTAGCTCTGGGTGGGAGTCACTGAGCCCCTCCCTCCCCTATCCTTGGTGTAATGTTTACTGGTTTGAACTTGTCCAGGTAGCCACAGCTGCTGTGCATTCATGAGTGCATCACATCCAGAGGACAGCATTTCACCACACTCCTGCATTGTCTGACTCTTACATTCTTTCTGACCTCTCTGTTTCACTGCCTACTGCAAGAAGCTTCTCTGACCACAGTTTAGAGCAGCATTTACCCATAGGTGTAAATATAAGCATGTAGAAATCAGTTCAACAGTGTAACTATTTAGCACAGCCATCATAGTGGACTCTCCGCTAGGACTGGTGGCCTCCCCAGCAAGGGGGTGTTGACCAGGTTCACAGAGCAGACCTCAGGTCTAATCAGAAAGACCTCCATAAAAGTCAGTGCAAGTATTTCAACCTCCTGGGCGTATCTTGTGTAGCAGGTCAGTATTGCAGCAGCGACCACCACTGGGGAATGCTAGTGACGGTTTTTCTCCTCCAGTGGCCTGTTTAGCACCTTCCAGCACTAGGAAAGGTAGCAGCATGGAGGAATTTCCAGGTCAGTTCCAAATTGATTTCTCTATGTCCTGCAACTAGAATGTGTGATGTCTTTAGCAGTATGACCTTACTGCCTAGTATGCTCTTGGGCAACTAAGAGCAATGGCAGTATTCTGTGTGGTTTGGGTAATCTGTAGGGCCTTCTTGACCAATAACTCACAGGGAGATGTCCTACACCTGGCACTGAAATCCTTACCTCTATCAAACCTTGGACTCTTGATGTGGATTCATTGTTACCAAATGTCTGTGGCCCTACTTAACTCTCTTAAAATAGACTCATTTAAAAAGCGTCTTTTTAAAGATTGAAAAGTTAAAAAAAAATGTGTGTGAATGTTTTGCCTGTGTATATAATACATGTATACCTGGTCCCCATGGATGCCAGAAAAGGTGGTAATTCCCCTGGAGTCCTCTGGAACAAGAGTGACAGCTGGTTGTGAGCCACACTGTGGGTGCTATGACCCAAACCCCAGTCCTTTGCAAGAGCAGCCAGTACTCTTAACCTCTGAGTCACATTAAAATGTGACTTTAATGTGAGTCACATTAAAATGTGCCCCTTAGAAACCCTCCAGCCAGGGATTATTTTTATATTTGGTAGTTGTGTTGTATCACTTAGACTGTCTGATATTCCATACTTGCATGAATTTGATTGACCAGCATTTATTATGTTAACCTTTTCCCCCAGTGATCTCGCATCAGTGATCCTTCCAAATACTACCTGCATTGACGGTTACAGCACATCAGAAGACACTGATGCCAGCTTCATGTTTGTCATCCATGTGTCTGTAGTCAGCAGCAACAGCAACACAGACTTACTCTCTTGGGTTTTTATTTTTCCAATAGACCACGACTGAACGGCCTTTTATTCAGAAGCTGTTCCGTCCTGTGGCCGCAGATGGACAGCTGCATACACTTGGAGATCTCCTCAGAGAAGTCTGTCCTTCCGCAGTCACCCCCGAAGGTAAGATACCTAGCAACTGTGACACATTGCTGCCATGTTCTCTTCTAAACCTTTGGTTGCTGAGGTTAAACGAGTATTCTATATCGGCACATTTTAGCAAGAATTTTCTTTACCTTTCAAGGGAAAATCTTTTGTTTTATAGCACTTGTCACAAAACAAGAAGTCAGTTCTCTCTGACAAAATAAAATATACTTCTTGTGCTCTAGGGCTTTATAAGTACTATTCTAATGGATTTGTATATTTGAAAATCAGAACACATAAACATGTATTTGAGATGCTTGGCACTAGAAGTGTTTCAGATTTCTTTCAGAAGTTGAAATATTTGCATACATGTAATGAATTATTTTGGGGATAGAATGCAAGCTTAAATATCAAATTTGTGCACGCATATCCACCTACCTATACGCCTATACAGCCTAAAGGTGATTTCCGTGGTATTTTTAGTGTGCTTACGTTTTTATGTGAGCCGTCACGTGCGGTCAACTGTGGAGTTTTCCACGTGTGCTGTAACGTCAGTGCTAAAGTGAGTGTGGGCATTTCAGATTTCCACCTGAGAGCTGCTATAAATGCGCACATGTGTACACACATGCATATGGACATGTATGCAGGTGTCCTGCTGCCTTTTGCACCCAGTCATTGCCCATGAACTCAGTACAGTGCTCATTACTGATTACATTTGTAAGAGGAATCTTCAGCCACACAGGACCATCTTCATTTACACACTGGGCAGCCTTTCTCATGTAAACCTAGTCGGGAGGGAGGTAAGGAATGATTAAACATGAGAGCAGTACTTCAGTAGTTCCTTATGAAATAATCTAAGGAAATGGATTTCCTAAAAAACAGAATTAGAAGCAGTATGAGCGTGAAGACAGGACTAAATCAGGAGGGTTAAAATGCAGATCCTGAACCACAACCCAGAATTACTGAAGATGGACTCGATGTCTTGGTTTTAGAGGCTCACTTGCCTTACCTTAGCTCCTATATTACATATCAGGGCATCTCCTGGTCCCCTAAAAGTCTTCCCATCTCTAGGGTAGGGTAAGTGTCCACTGACCATTGGAATTCCTGAATTCTTTGTGTAAGGCTTACCCCAAATGGTATTATCTATGATAACTAATTTGAAGTAACACTAAGCTTTTGTCTGGCCTTGGTTACTGTTTTATACTGTTCCATTGAAAGGCTTCCTGCCATTCAATATGTTTGCTATCTCAGCAGCTTTTTAAAGTACACTCTACAGAACTAGTATCAGAACTTGGAATAGAACATTTTTTGTCCATTTAGAACGTTCCCTTCTACACTCTTGGAGCTGACTGTTAGCCGTAAGCAACTGTTGGTCAACTCTCTGTCTCTATGATTTGCCTTTTAAGAACTACTTCATATAAATTGAATCGTGTGATAAGTAGACTTGTCACCCGGCATAGCTTTTGGTTGAGGAGTACTTCTGCTTAGGTGAGATGTCACAGCGAATCCTTTCCACCTTTTGACTTTTCTGATTAGTTCAGCTGTGAGCATCGGCTTGGATCTTTCTGGGAACATCTTTTCTTATTCCAAGGTAGATTCCCAGGGTGGGATGACTGGGAGGGACCAACAATGTGCTGGGCTGCTCACAGTCCCACCCGTGATGCAGGAAGGCTTCAGTTTCTTCACACCAGTGACGTGTTTTATAGTGATACTGATGGCTGGGTGTTGGCATCTCCCAGAGATGGCTGTTTCCCTCCTTTGAATTTCCCCACTACTAAGGCTGTCTGCTGTGCTTATTTGTGTAAGGAAGACAGGTTATCTGATGTGCTAAGTAAGCCGAGGGCCTCCGATCCAGCTTCTATTCCCATTCCCTTGTTTTCACTCCCAGGTGCCTTTGACGAAATGGCCCCAATCTTATTACTTTCCTAATACTCTGTTTGAAAAAAATTTGTATATTCTGGAAGAACTTTGTCTGGAGATTTTTTTTCCTAAAATATATGGTCTGTCTTTTCATTTTTTCTGAAGGATAGTTTTAATTCTGATGGAGTCCTATTCAGTTTTTAATGGGTTATATTTAGGGCTTTTTTGTAATGTCTTCTAGTAGATAATGTATTTGTGTGCTTATAAAATAACAAAAGTTGATATGAAGGAAATCAGAACAGTCTCTCTGCCTTGGGTCCCATTTGGAGGCACAGTGGCATTTTCCCATGTATCTAACACCTGTTGACTCGGGTTTTGGAAATTGTGAATCTTTGTTGGTTCTTGAATACTCTTCTGGCACTAGTTAGAGGATGGCAGGCCTGTGTCTTCGCTGCATCCCAGGATATGGGATAGAAGCTGACTGCCTCGTTCTAACTGTAGTAAGACCTACAGTTCCCATGCACGTGTTCTCTGTAAACAGCCCTCTTTGCTTGACTAGCTCTCAGCTGGCCTACAGCTCACTGTATAGACCACCACCATCCCCCTGTCTCTGCTTCCCGGGTACTGGCCTTACAGGCATGTGCTACTACCATGCTTAGCCATAATCATAATCTGTTTCCAGAAAGAAGTCATTTTAGGTATATTACTTTCTATGGCCTGTGGGATCCTTGGTTACTGATTGTAAGACCATCACATTGAACCCAGTCTCCAAAGTCAGTTATGAGTGGCCTGTGTTTGCTGCAGGGTAGGTACACTTGTGCTTTGTTTATTGAAAGTAACTTTAATGGTTCCTTTTAATCCAAGCAAAAGAATTTGAAATTTTAATTTCTTTCACTGACTAGCTGTTTGAGGTCATTTATTTCCTGATTACCCATTTCTGACTGTTAGGAGTGGTTGAGGAAGGTTTCAAGTGGGGAGTGGGGAGGTCAGAACCACCTTTGCATTTATAGAGAGCTGTGGAGGTAAGAGCCTTTGGGTTCAGTTAGCCCAGGCTTTACATTCCTAAATATTCCAATAACTCCTGGCTATTCATTTGGGGGATGAAGTTAAGAACTGTAGTCTTCACAAGCTTTGCCTTCTGATCTGGCTCGGCTCTCTTCTCTTCCCTTCCCTTTTCCCTTCCCTTTTCCCTTCCCTTTTCCCTTCCCT